TCACTACACAGCTCTGACTCATAGTGATCCTCCTGTTTTTAGCCTCCCCAGTGCTAGGATTGCAGGCGTGTGACACCGGACTCCGTTGCTTGTTCAGCGCCCCCTAAGGTGGTGAGCATGCAGACCCGGGGATTGAACCCTGGTCCCTGCACGTTCCAAGGCAGGTGCTTAGTCCACTGAGCTATCTTGCCACCTTGTTTTGTTTTTTAAAGGATTGAAGAGGTGGGGCTGGGGAGATGGCTTAGTAGATAAAGTGCTCGCCTGGCAAGCACAAGGGCCTGAGTTCAATCCCCAGTTCTGCAAAAAAAAGAAAAAGGATTGGAGAGGGGGCTGGGAAAATGGCTCAGTGGAATAAGCACTTGCCTGGCAAGTGCAGGGGCCTGAGTTCAGTCCCCGGTTTTGGGGGAAAAAAAAAAATCTTAAAGGATTGGAGATGTAGTTTCGTGTGAAGGGCCTGGAATCTATCTTAAAAACAAAATTTGAAAACATGATCTGAAGGAATTGTTTAACATGCTGCAGACAGCCCTCTAAATGGCTGAAATAAGGCCAGCGAGATAGCTCAGCAGACTAAGCACCTGCTTAGCCAAACACACAGACTGGGCTTCAATTCCCAGCACCATATGTCACCCCAGGCACTCTGAGGGGCCACTGAGACCAGGGTGGTGAGACACGCCTGTAATCCCAGCTCTGGAGAAGCCAAAAACAGGAGGATCACTACCAGTCCAAGCTATGTAGCAAGACCCTGTACCAAACACATTAAAAAAAAAAAAAAAAAAAGGCTGAAATAATGGAAACGGATCAGGACCAGTGAAGGGGTAGTTCTTTTTTTTTTTTCAGTCCTTGCAGAATTTCACGAAAGCTGTAGTCATCCTCCAGAAATTCAGACTAAGAGTTTAGCTCGGGCACAGCACCTGCCTGAAAAGCGTGAGATCCTGAGTTCAATTTCTGGTAAACCTCTGCCCCCCAAAAATGCACATACAATCACAATTTCCTTGACACCATCTTTGAGGGGTCTATGGGTACTTTAGGGTCAGAGAAGGAAGTGACTAAAGTAACTCTCATTCTTTCGTGTAATAGACCTTTTTGGTTGTGCCACTCATATGCTAAGGGAGCCGGCTCAAACATTCTAATAATAATATTTACAAATTTCTTTCTAGGTGTGATTCCTCACATCCACAAATCTCTGATTGGAAAGAAGGGACAGCAGAAAACCGCTTAGGGTTGTCACCCGCCCTCCACTGCCCTGTCCTTGTACTGTCACCTGGACGGAAGACATCAGTGGGGACACATGACATTTTTAAAAGCAGTTAAAGGAAATGCATAGACAATGCTGTAGACATAAACAAACATTGGTCTGTTCTTAGACACCAAGTTTGATAAAGTACTTTTCATGTGGTTACAGTTGTGTGGTGATTGGCTAGGTTTCTCCCATGTGTTTTATACAAAAATGGAGTTGATAAACCATTTTTTACAAAATAAATTTGTGTCTGAACTGTTCTGTTCATATATTGGAAATAGTTTGCTCAGACTTTGACATTTTTAAAATCTCAAATTGGCTACTCAAAATAATTTAAACTGGTTGTAGCCTGAACCACATAGACCTTGTTTCAATTGAGACTGGTAGTGGTGGCGTGCACCTGTAATCTCAGCACTTGGGAGGCTGAAAACAGGAGGATCACTATGACTGTGATCTGCAGGTGAGACCCTGGAGACCCTATACTAAAAAAAAAAAAAAAAAAATTAACAAAGTTGCAGTCTTTGTGGGGATTTTTTGTTTTGAGACAGGGCCTTGCTGTGTAGTCCAGGCTGGCCTTGGACTTAACTGTGTAGCCCAGGCTAGCCTCAACCTGGTAGTGTTCCTCCTGCCTCAGCCTCCTGAGTGCTGGGATTAGAGATATGCATTACCATGTCTAGCTTTAGCTATACAGTTTTTTAAAATTAATGTATTTGGTACAGGGTCTCACTATGCAGTTCAGACTTGTGATCCTCATGTTTTCAGCCTCCCCAGTGCTGGGATTATAGGCGTGCGCCACCATGCCCAGTCTTGGTGGCCTGCTCAGCACACCCAGGGGTGGGGCCGGCACAGCATGTGGTGCCAGGGATTAGACTCTGGTCCCTGTGCTTGCCCAAGCAGGCACTTAGTCCACTGAGCTATCTTGCTGGCCCTTAATTATTTTTTTAATCACTAAGTAACAAGATTTACAATAGTGGTTAACTCAAAAAACTATTTTTCTCCCCAGCAGTCTTCAACATGGAAGTCTTGATGTTTTATAGTATTAACACCATCAAAACAAATTCTTGGGGTCCCGCCCACTAGCTCAGTTGTTTAAGTGCCTGCTTAAAGCATTCAGTCAGGGCTGGAGAGATGGTTCAGTGGTCTAAAGCACCTACTTGGAACAAGCTTGGCAAAGTACAGGGACCACGGTTTGATCCCCCAGCACCACATGCCAGCCAGCCAGCTGCGCCCCCTGGTGGGCTGAGCTGGCCACACACACAATAAA